TGCCTTCATCTTCTGTAACCAATATCATGGCCTGTGGTTCTTTCTGGTCCCATTTCCCAGGCCTTTGTGGGACCTGGGGAAGATTAGAGTACCTGATTTACATTTCTTGACATATTTTCAGGTGAGGAGCGAACTGGAACACACTGGCTGTAAGCTGCATGTCTTGATAGCCAGCCAAGTTCTAGGATATTCATTACATGTTTAAGGTCTAAGAAAGAACCGTGATCTATGAGTCTAGACCCCTTCTGGCAACCACCACAATGCCCTCAGAGTGCCTGGGATTCTGAGTCTGCTTGAAGCTTAGAATAGCATCTCCAAACGACCCCTTCATAAGATAGAGGTATTTTCCTCATCTCACATTAGCTCTGTACAGAAGAGGTAAAACCAGGCTAACTAGGATCATGAAGTCATGACACCATAAAGCTATAAAAAGTGGTTTTATGATTCAACTGAGAAATAAAGAGAAGTTTTTCTCTGGGCCAGCATTACATAACTATTGACATACGCCCTTTACAAGGTCTTAGAAGTCAGGTGAGGTGTGTTTGTTTGCAGTTGGGAAAGGGGGAGAGGTTGGTCAGTTAGTTGAAGCTCTGTTTCTTAAATCAGGAAAACAGAACTAAGGAATTACACCAAGAAGGAACAGAACAAAGGTCAGGACCTCCTTCCCCATTTCTTAACTAGAGCCATTGGTACCTTGACTGCAAAGACAATTTACATTTCATTTAAAGAAAGTCATTTTAAACCCCTAAACTTCTACCCATCCCACCATTTCTGAAGACTTATCTTCTGTCTCTTCTAATCAACTCTTACCATTTCTATTCTACAATGCAATCTTAAACCACAAGGAACATAGCAGTCCAGTTTGTAATGGTTGACTAGTGTACCCAAAAAAATTTATGTCTACCTGGAACCCCAGAACATGTGACCTTATTTGGAAAGAGGGTCTTTGCAGGTATTAATAAAAAGTAGATCCTTGAACACAGGAGTTGTGATTCAACAATCCTTCCCCTGTCCAATGTAGTGGAAAACCTGCATATAATTTTTTTTTAATGTATCTTTATTGATTTCAGAAAGGGAGAGGAAGAAATAGAAACATCAATGATGAGAATCATTGATTGGCTGCCTTCTGCACGCCCCCTAGTGGGGATCGAGCTGCAATCTGAGCATGTGCCCTTGACCTGAATCAAACCTGGGACTCTTAAGTCCACAAGCCGATGCTCTATCCACTGAGCAAAACCAGCTAGGGCTGCATATATAATAATTTTTGACTCCCCCCAAAATTAACTAAAGTTGCCCCTAAGTATCCATGAAAGATTAATTCCAGGGCCCCCTGCAGATACCAAAATCTGCAGACACTCAGATCCCTTACACAAAGTAGCATAAAACAATGCATAGTTGGTTCTCCACATCTGAAGATTCCCAACCATAGATAGAAAATACTGTTTTCGATCCACAGTTGGTTGAATCAGTGGAAACAAAACCCAGAGATATGAAAGTTCAACTGTTAATGTACTGCAAAATAATACGTGTATTAGTTGATCCTTGCAGTTCAAACCCATGTTGTTCAAGGGTCCACTGTAATTAGTGAAGATGAGGTCATATTAGGTTAGGGTGCGCGCCAAATCCAATGACTGGTATGCTTATAAGAAGGCCTGGTGAAGACACGAACACTAGAAGGCTACCAGTATGTGAAGATAGTGGCAGAGACTGGCGTTATGCTGCCACAAGCCAAAGAACACCAACAATTGCCAGCAACCACCAGAAGCTAAGGAGGGAGAGGAAGGGTTCTTCTCCTGGGGTTTCAGATGAAGCACAGCCCTGCCATACCGTGATCTCAGACTTCTAGCCTCCAGACTGTGAAGCAATGGATTTTTGTTTTAAGCCACCCTGTGTGTGATACTTTATTACAGCAGCCGAGGGAACCAATGCACACCTCAATAGGGGATTCAGCAGCAAGACTTAGAAACTTAGAGGACAAGAGAGCATAGCCCTGAATAACAGCATAAACCCACAGCCATGTCTCATTTACTAATGCATCACACTCGTTTACTTGTGTGCCTCCTGCCCTTCACAATGACATCTTTACTTGTTCTGTTTGGGACTCTAATATATTGGTCTGGACACCAATATGGCTGAAGACACACAGTCCACCTTTCTTCTCTTAGTGTCCATCTTCCCATCCTAGCAAAGCATAATTAAGAATTTGCTTTAGAGACAATAGCTAACTTTTCGAGTGGTAGTTTTTAACCTTTTTAGTTTCCCCAGAATAGGCCTATACCTCAGCTGTCCACAGACCCTAGGTTAGAGACCCCTGCCTATTTAGACTACTTCCAATCTCTCCTCCTTACCCACCGCCCATACCGAGATTCAGTTTCAGCTTGCTTCTGCAATCATCCACTGAGTTGAAATAGCAACCATCTATTTACTTTTACTGACTGGCTGAGACACAGAGAGAGAGGCCATTATCCTAAGCCATCTGGAGATTCCCATCAGGAAAACACATTATGAAGAATTAGCCTCCAGTAATAGACACAACTCATAACAAATAGTCAAAGGATGGCCCCATTCAACTATTTGCCTTTCCTTTTCTTCTACCATTTTCTCCTTTCCTTTTTTATTGTCTCCGGACTCCTCTAATGTATCCTCCACTCTAATGTACCATGAGCAGCAATGAAATTTGAGGCAAACTAAAACGAAACGAGCCATGTGTTAGATTCCAATTAACTGTAAATGCCTTATCCACAGGCACCCATCTCAGGATACATTTGAGGCAGAAAGCACCCTACCTGCTATATTTACAAAAGACCTTCCTGTTCACACCCGACTACCACACAGAATTTTACTGACATCTACTTTTTTTTACTTCTCACTTTGACTCTAAGAAACACGCACTTTGCATTACTATGAATGCAGAATGTTTTTCTTCTGCCAAAACTCATTCTCAGTCTTACTGGAATCGTTTCATCCTGGTTCTGCCACTCCAGACATCCTCTTCTAATAAAACTTACATTCAACAAAAATGATTAGACATCTTAATGTGTAAAAACCATCAGAGCACATGACTTCACGACTGCTCAAAGTTGTTTCTGATTTCCATCACCTCTCCATGCCCCACCCTGCCCCCATAGTGCAAGTGTCTACTTGCTCCCCAGCAACTGAAGCCCAGCTTCATATCTCCTGAATTAAATAATCAACAGATGATCCAAAAGAAATAGTGTTCAATGGTCACCAATGACAAATGGATAAAGTTGGGTCTTGGGTGCCCCTGTATTTTCTGACTTCAAGCTAGTCACCTGAGATTAAGAATATACAGCCGAGGAAGCGGCCAGGCCCGGGGGAGCAGGCGGGTCGGGTGCGGCCAGGCCCGGAGCAGCGGCTGCCAGGCTGGGAGCGGCCAGGCCCGGAGCAGCAGCAGCCAAGTCCAGAGCAACTAGGTTGGGAGCGGCAGGGACCAGACCCAGAGCAGCTGGTTGTGGAATGAACCAGAGCAACAGAGGCCAGGCCCTGAGCAGCCAGGCCCGGAACAGCTCGCTCCTTGCCTGCCCCTGCCCCACGGCTGCTTCTCAGACATGGCTGGAAACTTTCGTGGGAACTTGAGGGTCTGCTGAAAAAAGTGATGAAGGCTTAGATCTGGATGTGTTGAGTTAGTTTAAGGCTGGGGTGTTGATCTGTGAGTGTCTTGGGTGGGGCCTGGATGAGGCTGGTGGACCTATTGGGAAATGTCTTTTGTGTGAAGTGTATCATTGGGCATGTGGAGGTATTATTGATATGAGAAAATGCTAAGTAACTGATTTACTATCTGAAAAGGGATTTACTATTGGGGAAAGGGAGGGAAGAAGAGACTGAACATAAACTGTGCACCTATGGATGAGGACAATGGGGGATGGGGAGGGGGTAGAGGGTGGGGTGGGAACCTGGTGGAGGGGAGAAGAAATGAGGAACCTTTGTAATAATATGAACAATAAAGATTGATTAAAAAAAAAAAAGAAGAATATATAGCCAAAACTGGTTTGGCTGAGTGGATAGTGTGTCAGCCTGCGGACTGAAGGGTCCCAGGTTTGATTCTGGTCAAGGGCATGTACCTTGGTGCGGGCACATCCCCAGTAGAGGCAGCTGATCGATGACTCTCTCTCATCGATGTTTCTAACTATCTCTCTCCTTTCCTCTCTGTAAAAAATCAATAAAATATATATTTTTTAAAAAAAAAAATATAGATATATATATGTATATATATATATAAACCAGTCTTCCTAACCACTTGCTCAGTCCAAGAAGCCAGGGAAGTGAATCTAGTTAGGGATCTAAGAATCACTGCAGTCTCACGTAAGGACTTTGCGTCATCCCCTTTTATATAGACCAACCTCCTTTTAAGTAGAACTTTCTTTCCAAGCCATTCTTCATCTTGTTCCTTTGCTGATTAATTTTAAATGCTTAGAAATGCATTTATTCTTAAATTAAGAACAACCAATAAATTTGCCACGTAACTGCCACTGTTAATTTCTTAACTATGAGCAAGATCTTCTTAAATCTTTGAGTACTTTAACTTATAAAGGTCTTCAAGAAGTTCTTGAATCTTTTAAAAATAATATTTAAATTTATTATTTCACATTAGGTCTAACGAAGCACAAGCTGAGATTGCTTAGGTACCCTAGGTATCCCCATTTTATCGATGCAGATGCTTCTTAACAATTCCAGGTCAAGTGCTAGTCTTTGACTTGCAGCTGAGAAAGCAACAGGTCTGTGTGAAGTGACAGAAGGGCACATCCTACTCATGACATGAGCAGGAACCAAAGTGGAAGAACAGTAAAACCTGTACAAAACATTCTGCAGTCATGACACTCCAACAAGGAAAGGAGAGTAAGTACTGAGGCAGCTGAGCAGACTCTGGACATAATTCTGAGAGATTTCAGTCTGAAGAACTCCTCCGGAGGAGGTTTCTTTCTCTTCTTCAATCCCCTTTCACACAACAGAAAGCAGAAATCAAGTCTTTATAAAAGAGACTAACGGCCTTTCCGTTTCTTCATTTTCCCTCCTGCCACCTTGTTCCTGACACCCATGGCGCCCTCCGTATCATCATTGTCCCCAGCATCCTCCCGTGCACGCTTCTTCTTTTCTCCATGCTCCCTCAGCTCCTGCAAAAAGAAAGGACGGGACTGAAAATGAACCTCCACCACTGAGGGTTACACATCCTGGTCTCCCCTCCAAAAAATCAAACAAGGGGTACCTTCCTAAAGCTTCACATTAGCAAGGGAATAAGACCAAAACCCCAACATACAAAAATGTTAATCTAATTAACAATCAAGGATATAAATTAAAACAATAAGCTATTATTTTCACATGGCAGACTAGCAAAGATTTAAGAGAATGGTAGTATCTAGAATTGACCAAAATGTGAGGACATTCACATATACTTTCACTGACAGTGTAAACTGTGACAGCTCTTCTACGGGGTAATGCAGCATTCCATGTGAATTCAAATTTTAACTGTATACTCTTCAGCCCAACAGTTCTAAGGATTATTCTAAGGAAACAAGACAAGTATTCAAAACTGTACTTACTAGGATGTTCAACCGTGCTAGTTAAAATATAAGAAGTTACAAAAAACCTAAATACATATCAATGTAAATCATGTTACATGTTCATAACAATTCTTTGTAGCAATGAAGAAATGATCACATGGATCTAATGTGCTGAAATAAAAAAATCATATACAATTAGATAGTCTAATTATGGCTAAAAAAAAAAAAAAGAAATATAGACAAAGATTACCTATGGTTCTCTGTGCGGGGTGGTTTATACATTCTATTTACTATTTGAATCCTTTCTGTATTTTCTGAATCCCCTCCCCCCCTCCAATGCACATGTAAACAAAAATATCAAAGAATTCTATTTTGGAAGAAAAACAAAACCAAGTCCACACTTCAGCTACTCCAAGGCACCCCAGACTAGAATTCCAGGGAGCAGATAACACTTGCAAAGATTCTCCTTTAAAATCTTCTCATCTCCACTGCTGTTACTACTACTATTAGCAACTATGCAGTTTATATTAGCTCATCTGGTGCTCATAGAACCCCGTAAGGTTTCCAAAATAAGTATTACTCCCTAAATTAGGATAGGAACTGCTTGGTGAGGAACTGTTTCTGAGAAATCAGTCACAACTGGGACATCTTATCTCAAGTCCGAAGGTTTTCCTGCCACATGTGAAACATAAACAGAGGCTGAGAACGTGGTCACTGTGGTGAGACTGAGTCTGAATCCTGATTCAACCACCTAGTTGTAGGGTCTAATGATGGACCTACCATCTCGAAGTTTTAGCATGCTTAGAAATGCATTTATTCTTAAATTCAGAATAAATTATAACCTAGCTCCTGCACTTTATTATGAGGACTAATACAATATCTAGCACATAGATAATATCATTTGCAAAGAAGGTGGTTAAAAAAATAAGTTGCATACCATTCGGGCGAATCTTTGGGCTTCAGTCACACGTTCTGTCAGCATCATAACCTCGTCATCCTGTGTTGGAAAGACAGGCAGTTTCTTCCCAATTAAGTGTTCTATGCGCTGGAAGAGTTCCACATCATATCTGAGGAAGAAACATTGGCATGGCTTTGGTGGACTGACAATGCACGTCAGCCCGTTCCAAAATAGGTATTGCATTATACAGTGCAACAAGAGCCAGTGTTAAACAATACTGAATCTATTATTCCTTTTCAGAATACTAACTAAATGCAATACTCTGTGCATAGCCCACTAGAAAATCCCCCAACAGTCTGTACTCCCAGAAAAGGACTGGGTATATAAAATTTTTCCTTTAAAAAGAAAATCAGAAATAGTTATTCTAATTCTGTGAGTTGAGGGGAAGGTCACTGCTCTCTAGCTCTAGCAGCTAAAGAAATAATAGGGTGGGTTTTGTCCTTCTATATACCAAACACTGTATTAGACCTTGTAGACAACATCTCCAGTCTCATTAAAACCCTCACTATTAACATTAGGAGCAGTGGATTCTTTGTTGTGGGGGCTTCCTTTGTATTGCTGGATGCTTAGCAGCATTCCCGGCCTTTACCAGGTGGCACTGTGACAAACATGTTTTCAGACTTTTCCAAAGGTAGGCATTATTTCCATTTCACGAATGATGAAAATGGGATCAGGGAGGTAAAGTAACCATTCTAGTAACTGGTAGAGTCAGGTTTCAAGTCAGTCTGTTCCCAAACTCAGCTCTTTTCTCAACTGCTCTGCCCCGACCCCGATTCACTTACTGTGTGACAAAGGTGATGGACTTCCCGGAGCGCCCAGCTCGAGCTGTCCGACCTACTCGGTGAATGTAATCCTGAAACAAAAAGGTAAATGAATTTGAGTTACATGTAGTATAAGTAAAACACTATGCATGTAAAGTCTTACTGTAAATCTCTGAAAGAAAACAAATTTGTAGTGGAACATGGAAAAATGGATTTAAAATTTTATTGAGATAAATCTGCATCACCTATTTTATTTCACAACACAAACTGACCCTATTTTTCCTTTCTTTTATAGAAAGACAAATCTACAAAGCATATCTACATGGTCACTAAGCATATTATCATGGAGTCGAGAAAAACAGCATTGGATCTAGAGGCAGACCTGGGTCACAGCTGTGGTTTTACCACTTCCCAGCTACACATATGTGTCTGTAAATCACATAACCTGTCTGAACCTTGGTTTCTTACTTATAAAACAGGGATAAAAGACATGTCCAAACTCAGAGTTATTGTGAAAATCAAATGAGACAGCACCTTGTCTACAGCAGTTAAATATATAGCCAAGAGATACGGGTTGGTCTCAAACAGGGGTGATTTTTGTTCTCCCCAGGGAGTATTTGCAAAAATCTGAAAACATATCTATTTGTCACAGTGGCACCTCTGGGTAGAGGCCAGGAGTGCTGCTAAGCACCCTGCACTACAAAGGAAGCCCCCACAACAAAGAATTCACCGGCCCCAAATGTTAATGGTGTCCAGATTGAGAAGACCGAGATACACTAAGGACTACAAGCTGGCAATCCTAAAGAAATGAGACTGACAAAGATCAGCATGCTCCATCTGCCCCTCAGACTGTGATCATTATTTAACACTTCTCTCTGGCTACCTTCATTCACCTTTATTAATAGTATATCTGCAGGCATGTGCAAAATGGTAAAAATGAATAGATCAGGGCCTTTCCTAGTTTTTGATGCTTAACTAATCATGGACCAAAAAAAGAAAAAGAAAACACGGTAAACATTTCATTAAGAAATATACTCTGGCCCAGCTGTGGTTCAGTGGTTGATCGTCAACCTATGAACTAGGAGGCCACGGTTCAATTCCTGGTCAGGGCACATGCCCGGGTTGAAGGCTCCCAGTGTGATGTGTGCAGGAGGCAACTGATGGATGATGTTTCTGTCTCTCTCTCCCACTCCCTTCCTCTCTGAAATCAATAAAAATTAAAAAAAACAATACACTCTCAATACAATGGAATATTATTCAGCCATAAAAAACAATAATTAAATCTTGCCATTTGTGACAACATGGATGAATCCTGAGGGCATTATGCTGAGTGAAATAGTTCAGAGAAAAACAAATACTATATGATCCTAACTTATATGTGAAATCTAAAACAGAAACAAAAAAACTGAGCTCATAGACACAGAGAACAAATGTGGTGTTGCCAGAGGTTGAGGAGGATTAGGGGAGTGAAATGGGTAAGGAGATGGAACGCAGTATCAAAAGGTATAAATTTCCAACTATGAAATAAAAGTCATGGGAATGTAACATTATAGTCTGTAATACTGTAATGCATATTTGAAAGTTGCTAAGAGAATAGATCTTAAAAGTTCTCATCACAAGAAAAAAAAAAGATTATTGTGTGTGGTGACAAATGTTAACTTGGCTTATTATAATCTCATTTACAATATATACAAATATCGAACTTTTACCCTGTATACCAGAAACGAATGTAATGTTACATGTGAATTATACCTCAATTTCACTTTGGGACTAGAAATCAGGTCAGAAAAGGACTCACCTTGGAATGGGTAGGAATGTCAAAGTTGACAACTACATCCACATGAGGTATGTCCAAACCTCGGCTTGCAACATCAGTTGCTAGAAGAATGGAACGAGTCTTTGCCTTAAATTTATTAAGGGATCCCAGACGCTTGCTCTAAAATGATGAAAATAATTTAAGGACTCTTGGAAACTATAAGACATACCAATTAGACATATTAAATACAAGAGATAAAATTTTTAAAGGATGTTTCCCCCCAAGTCCAGATTGGACTTCATGGGTCAAAAAGAAACATGAAAGCAACAACAACAAAATCTATATATAGAGAGCCAAGGTCCAAAACGACCAAATACCAGAAGTCAGTCTTGCAGTCAGGGACCCAGCATTAACTGCCAAGGGGTCTGTGGATCAGGGCCAGAGAGCAGCTCAGAGAGAAAAGCAGGGTCTAATCCACAGCCTCCATGGCAGCTGTTGATCAGCTCTTGCCTCTCTTTCTCTCACCAGCAGTCAGGGGGGCTGCTGATCAGCCCCGCCTCTCTGATCAGGCCCAGAGATAGGCCTGGAGACAGGCCTAGAGATACTGACTGGCATAGAAACTGACCAATCAGAACCAAATCTGGGGGAACTGCAAGGAGTCAATGGCTGCTTAGGAGGCAGAGCTTTTAACACTGACTGGCATAGAGACCGACCAACCAGAACCTAATCTGGGTGAACTGCGAAGGCAGAACTTAAGGTGGGGGCTGAGGAGGGGTTTTAAGGGCAACACCTGTTTGGTGTAAGGTGTAAGAAAGCAATTCAATTTTTTAATGACCAGTTTGGCAGTATAGTGCATATGACTGGCTATCAGTCCAGATATAGAGATTATGTATTTTTGTCTACCAAGAGCATCTCTTTCTGCTGAAAAAGGCTTTCCCCTGCCCATTTAAGCAATCCTATCCTATATAATCTACCTATACTACTAAAAAGATAATACTCTAATTAGACTGGATCGAATGGCCATCTTTTGGACATCTGACTTCCTTCTGGTAGCCATGGTAGTGGGGGCTGAGGCAGAGGCAGTTAGGAGTGATCAGGCCAGCAGAGGAAGGCAGTTAGGGCAAAATCAGGCCGATGGGTGAGGGCAGTTGGGGGCAAGCAGGCCAGCAGGGGAGGGCAGTTGAGGGCGAGATCAGGCAGGCAGGGAAGGGCAGTTGAGGGCGAGATCAGGCCGAGGAGCAGTTAGGAGCGATCAGGCAGACAGAGGCAGTTAGGGGCAATCAGGCCAACAGGGGAGAGCAGTTAGGGGTGAGATCAGGAGAGGGCAGTTAGGGGCAATCAGGCAGAGGGGTTATCAGGCAGAGGCAGTTAGAGGCGATCAGGCAGACAGGTAGGTGAGGTGGTTAGGAGCCAGTGGTCCCAGATTGCAAGAGAGATGTCCAACTGCCAGTTTGGGCCTGATCCTAGCAGTTGGACATCCCCCATGGAGTCTCTGATTGAAGAGGGTGCAGGCTGGGCTGAGGGAAACCCCTCACCCCATGCATGAATTTCGTGCACCAGGCCACTAGTATTTAAGACTAAGGCTAGAAAATACTAGTATAACATAAGAATTAACATAATAGATAATTGGGAAATAACATATTAAAAATCCTTAGAGATCAGAGAATCACTATTACCACTAGGGCTGAATAAATCAACTCAATAGCATCCATATCAGAAACTACCTAAGGAATTAACTAGAATCTCTTGCTTATCCTGAAAGGAGGAAGTAAGCATCCAGAGCAACACTCCAAGCCCATAAAATCAATCATGGGAAGATGCAGTAAAGCCCTGTATTATTACTGTACAAATCCATTGCTATACGGTTTATCTTTCTCATGCCACCTAATCTTTACCTGACTCATCTGTCCGTGGAGGGGGATGGCAGTGAATCCAAGATTTCGGAGTAGCAAAGCTGTTCTCTGAGTATTGTTACAGGTGCTGCAGAATATCATGAAGGAGTTTCCAGCCAATTCATTTAGAATATAAACCAGGTAGGTATCCTAAATTACAAATAAAAGATAATACATGTAAATAAACCTGGAAGAAAAGGTTGGGGTCTTGGACATATAAATTCCATAAATTCTAAACTTATACTTGCTTCTCAATTATACAAACCCCTAGCTGCCAGCTTTGCACTCTATTTCATTTTTTTGTTAATTCTAACCCAATGGTATTTCTCCATTAATTTTTCAAGAGAGTGGAAAGTAGGGGGAGAGACAGAGGGAAAGAAACATTGATGTGAGAGAGACACATCAGTTGATTGCCTCTTGCATACGCCCCAACCAGGGCTGGGATGGAACCTGCAACCAAGGTACATGCCCTTGACTGGAATTGAACCTGGACCCTTCGGATCCTCAGGCCAATGCTCTATCCATTGAGCCAAACTGGCTTGGGCTAAAAAATATATTTTTACTGATTTCCGAGAGGAAAGGAGAGGGAGAGACAGAGAGAAGTATCAGTGATGAGAACCATTGATCTGCTGCCTCCTGCATGCCCCCCTACTGGGGCTTGAGCCCTCAACTCGGGCATGTGCCTTGACTGGAAATTGACCTAACCACTGAACAACACCTGCTAGGTCAACTTTGCACTCCTTAACCAGCATTATCATCTCTATGAACTCTGAATTCCACATACAGCCAAGAACAAGGAGATCTGTACTCAGCAACCAAAAAAAGGCCTCACATCAACACAAAACATAGCGTCCCTTGACTACAAAAAAAGCCATCTAATAAGCACACAAAAGAAAAACTACCTCAAGGATGGGGTTGGGAAGGATTTATATCATAGTTTCATTACTGTGGGGGTTTACTTAGTATGTTGTGAATTTGTGGAATGTTTGACTTTATCAGCGATAAACCCTGCTCTCCAAAGCAAACAGAAAGAACTCCAATCTGTAGCACAGCTTTTAACTAATCAAGAGTTGACTCATTTCCAGATGTTTTGGTAAGGAAGGAGAGGGAACACTTTACCTTGAATTTAGAGGGAATAAAAATATAATATTGCTGTAATTTCTCAACCGTCTGGTATTTAGAGGAAACAGCACATTTCACAGGATTCTTCAGTGCTGCTCGCTGAAGTTTTTGTACCTAAAGAAAAACAAAACAAAACCTGGAATAGTACTCTGATTCCCAAATGCTCTTTCTAGTTTTACTATTATTGTTGTTTGCATTAATCAAGTCTTATAAATAAGAAGTCCTAGAAAATTTCACCTTCTTGGTCATGGTAGCAGAGAAGAGAAATGTTTTCCGATCTCGGGGAATCACTTTGAGAATCTTGTCAACCTAAGGCACAAAAAGGAAAGGGTATCAATACAATATTTAGATCAAACACCTGCAAATTTCTTTGTGAAGGAGACAGAATAGAGTAACAAACTAAATATAACACTGTGGGGATTTGGGGATTCAAAAATTCAATTCAATCCAGCTAAATTTTACAAAATATTTATTATTTGATACCATACCAAATGCTATAAAAAAAATGTGATTAAGTGAAAAAGAGCAATTTAAATTAGTACCTTAGAACTAATCTAAGAGAAAAGTCGAGAATAGGTGTTAATCAAATAAATAAGCTATGAAGAGTAGGTCATCAAAAAAAAAAAAAAAGGTCTTTATCAAATGAAATGGAAAAAGAAAATCTGGTTTTGATATTCCCCATCTCTGAAATCAGAGTCCAACTATATTCAGATGGGGAGGCACTAACAATGGGAAGAGCACCACAAATGAAAAGGGCAGCAAATGTTTAATACATATTTTTTATATATATATTTTATTAATTTTTTACAGAGAGGAAGAGAGAGGGATAGAGAGTTAGAAACATCGATGAGAGAGAATCATCGATCAGCTGCTTCTTGCATCACCCCCACTGGGGATGTGCTCTTGACTGGAATCGAACCCGGGACCTTTCAGTCTGCAGGCCGACACTATCCACTGAGCCAAACCGGTCTCGGCAAGGCAGCAAATATTTAAATTAGCTGATAATGATGCAGCACTCCCCATAAGGCAGGTGTGCAATGAATCAAATTTTGAAACGGGGCACTTGAGATGCTGTAAGAGGAGGAAAGAAATTGTGAGCTCACCTCTGTCTCAAAATCCATATTCAATATTCGATCTGCTTCATCCATGACCAAGTATTTGAGAGCTCTTAAGTTGAAACCTTTTGTGTTTTCCAAGTGGTCAATCAGTCGACCAGGAGTTGCTAACAAAGAAAGATTGAGAAGAAAGAGCAATATTTAAGAACAAGAACAAAAACATCACCACCTCTCTCAATTTCAGAAATTAAAAATTAAATAGGTTTACAAAAATCTGTTCTTCAAAGTCTTTCTGTTAGAGTAAGCAGTTAGGCAAGACCAGAGCAGCAATGTATGGAATGATACCAGGGTGGAAAGTCCCAGGTGCTTAGCAAGGGGCAAAACTAAAGAGCCAACTATTATAGGCTGGCACCTTGCCCCAGGGTGACCTTTCCCCACCTAGCATGTCATTGGTCATGTGGTTTAGACCCCCTTAAAGGAGGAACAAGGGGCTGGAGAATGACCTCATGACTCCTGTACAAGAACAGGAGACGGGAATGGGAAAGGCCCTGATAGGTCAGCTTAAAGAAGCAGCTAAACCCAGCCAGCATGGCTCACTCAGTGGTTGAGTATCAACCTATGAACCAGCAGGTTACAGTTCCATTTCTGGTTCAATTCTGGTCAGGGTACATGCCCAGGCTGAGGGCTAGATCACCAGTAGGAGGTGTGCAGAAGGCAGCTAATTAATGATTCTCTTATCTTTGATGTTTCTATCTCTCCCTCTCCCTTCCTCTATGAAATCAAAATATATATATATACATACATATATATACATATACATATACATATACATATACATATACATATATATATATATATATATTTATTTTTTTTTTTTTAAAGGAGCCCTTGCCAATACACGAGGGCAGCTCTCTGAGCAGCCCATGCAACTCTTCCCTCTAAGTGTACTTTCGCTTTACTTGCTAAATAAACTGTCTCCTGAGCTAGAGTTTTTGGCTCTGAATTCTTTCCTAACCGAACACAAAACCTGAGGTCCACATTGGCTCCTAACATTTCCACACAAGAAAGTAACACCCAGCATTGGTAGATGTTCTCCAATTATCACTGCCAGCATCTTTTACCTTTGGCAACTACTCACCTATTATTACATGTGGTTTTTTTGCCAGGGCCAGAGACTGGGACATTGAATCAATTCCACCTACAATCACAGCTACAAGGGAAAAAAAAAACACAACAAGTAATATAGGAAAGCCGCCCTTAATTTTTTCCATAGTTCACTGATCACCTTTTAAAAGCCAATGTTAGATATTTCTACTTAAATATATAACTTTACCCAAAGCTAAAATACCATATCAGCTTTTTGGTCAATAAACGTATGCTAATTATACTTCCTTCCATTCTCCTTTCACACTCACTCTCAACTAGTGAAGGAGCCCTAAGACTCCTTTCCTCTTAGAACTTACCAGTCTGCACTCCAATAGAAGACCCTAGGGCTTCAAACTGCTCTGAAATCTGAAAGGCCAGCTCTCGGGTGGGGGTAAGGACCAAAGCAAACAGACGCTGGGGCGTCTCCAGCAGCGCATTCAGAATGGGCAAAGCAAAGGCCCCTGTTTTTCCAGAGCCGGTTTCCGCCAGCCCAATGATATCACGACCTAGGGGGTGGAAAAAGAAAGAAAACATCTCATAGAAACTTTCTCTGCTATTTCCACATTTTCTACAATGACACAATGCTGGGCACAAAGTAAAACACTGAATAAATATTTGAGGAACTGGGGCAGAAGAAGGCTGAATAGACAGAAGACGTGGTCTCTGCTCCAGATAAGCTCAAAATCCAGGGACACAATACACAAATACAGAACAGTGTGCTAAGGGCTTTAATATAAGCCCCTGCAAAATACAGTGAGAACACAAAGGAAGGAGTAACTTACTGCCCTAAAGCGTCAGGAAAAGCTAAAAGAAGTGATGAGTAAATTAAATCTGCAAGTAAGCACAGAAGGAAAGAAAGGGCATTCCCATGTGATGGAGGAAGAGAGGCTGAAAGCTTTAAAAAACATAGCAGACTCAGTAGGGAGAGTGAGCTGTACAATGTGCTGGAGCAGACATCTTAAGGGGAAAGGGGAGAAGAATGAGGCTAGAAAGGAAACTCATAAGCCCTGCTAAAGAGTTTTGATATCTTCCAATAAGTGAGGGGATCTGAGAATCTGAACAGGGAATATCATGACCAATGGTACTTATTAGGAAGATGAACTAGGTCTGCCTGATGGCACAGGGAGGAGGCAAGGAGCTAACAGTCCAGGTCCCTTCTTCTGAGGGAAGAATGTCATAAGTAATTCCTTAAGTTATTACGGGTAAGATTTGAAAAATACTTGCCAAGCCAAACCACCAGGACAGTACCCAATGGAATGGCTTCCTCCTGAGCAATGACTTCCACGGTTCCTGACTGCGTGGCTGCTGAGGCTTCCTCTCCAAGACATTAACTCCCTGAAGTAACCTGAACGTGACTCTGTTTTTTACCATCTAATATAAACCAAACTCCCAGAATGGGGAACACACAGGAAAAGGAGAGATCAATTAGGATCCCAAGGGAGTTACACGGCATTGAGAATGGAAACCAGTGAAATTTAGAAAGTTCCAAAAGGAAATGTATTTGACACTCAGGTTTCTAGCATGAGAAACTCAAAGGCCATAAATTTAGATTGGGACTACAGAAAAATTAGTTCCGGTGAGGAAAACAATGACTCTGGTATGGACATAGGGAGCCAGAGGTTCCTACAATAAGCTCAGAGAAATCGCTAAAAACCAGCTGGGCATACTTGCATGGGGCTCAGAAGAAAAGTGGGGTTAGAAATGCAGTTCAAAGCACTATTCTCTCTCTCGAGCTATAATAGTTCAGTTCTTAACCTGGGACTTGTGGGAGAGGAATAAATTGAGAGCAAGGGATAAATGTTATGTGTGGATATATTTATGTGCTTTTTTCTGGGAAGAAACTCTCTAATTTTTATTTGACTCTCAAAGGGGTAAGAATGTCAGCCTTCTCTTATGGTAATGTACCGCACTTTCTCTGAGGACCTTAATGAATTTCAGTTAACAATTCTGGGTGTCTTTTTACCACCCACCCTAATCCTGTACAGTTGAGTTTGGGGAATCTAGGAACAGGATTTCACTTCTCCTCTTATTAAAGTTCACCCTGCTAGTTCCAGTCCCACTAGTCATGAGCCACTCTTCTGCAAATCTGGAAAGCATGTCTTACAGCACGAGTTCTCAACACCTCCAGATACTAACAAGGACTCCAGAGACCCTTACATAAATCTGCACTCATTATTCATGATTTCTTTTTTTGTTGTTTTTAGCGTTTTGGGTTTTTTTGGTGCACCATTCCCAGAGGTATTGCAATACTGGGTCAATGTGTGGAGTGGACAGAGCAAACTCCTAATCCATATTCTTATTCAAAAAATACATATACATATGGCTAATATGCAAAGTGTCTGCTCAGGAATGAGAGACCAGGAGTGTGATCACTCCCTATGTAATGCACCAAGGGACAGCGCAGAACATGGCGGGCAACCAGCAGCTCTGGCCAGGCACTGAGGGAGCGAGGAAAGGGGGAGGCAAGGAGAACCATGTGGTGGTGGTGGAGGTACTCTGGTGGTGAGGGAAGGAGGAGGTAGGGAGGTAGGGAATCTAATCTACAGATTCCAGGCCAGGCCTAGGGACCCTACCCATGCACGAATTTCATGCGTCGGGCCTCTAGTTTAATATAATATCATCAGATAGAGGATGTATCAGATACTAAACTGATAAGAACAGATATTACACTTGATCTTAGCCAAAAGGCCGAGAAGAGAGTCATGATTTCTAACAAGTCTCTTGTCAGTACATTTCAATCTAGTGCTTCCTTAGGTCGCAGACACTAAAGCTCCTTATACAAAGCAAGCTCAGCTCTGGCCAGGGTGGCTCAGGCAGTTGGGCGGTCATTCCCAGCACCGAAGGGTTGTAGGTTCAATTCCCATCAGGGCACATACCCATGCTACAGGTTCGATCCCCATCAATGTTTCTCTCCCTTCCTTTCTCTCAACAGAAAACATAACAGGTGATGATATGAAGTTTCACAGAATAAGTGATTCACAAATCATATTATAAGAAAAAAAAGAAAACTGGAGAACTTTTACAAAAGCCAACACTCCACCAAAACTTTGTATCGTCAGTGAAGATATTTTTATTTCACTTCAAGTAGGCAAGAAGCAGTTGTCTGACACTCTCTTAAGTTCATACTGAATCTGTCCCAGGTCACATGTTTCATGTCAACCTACCTTGTAAGGCCAAAGGAATAGCTTCCACCTGGATTTTGGTGGGCTTCGTCCATCCCAACTGGTCGCAAGCTTCACATAACACATCGGTCACACCCTTGGAATTAAAAATAAAACACACACACTTTAGCAAAGAGCAGCACACACTCCCCTCCTCCTCATTCAATAATCGCCAGAGCCACTGGAGACGCGGGCACAGGTCCCTTACATTTCATTCAAAGCGCATCTAGCGCTCCTTCTATGGGCTACTGCTCACCAGGGACAAAGCCAAGCTCTTGACACCTGTTATTCCATTTAATCCTCATAATGCTAGGAGGTACTTCCCCAACTTACTGATGTCGAAAGGAGGCACAGAGGCGTAACAACTTGCTCTAGGGCAGTGGTCGGCAAACTCATTCGTCAACAGAGCCAAATATCAACAGTACAACAATTGGAATTTCTTTTGAGAGCCAATTTTTTTTTTAAACTTATACTTCTTCCAACGCCACTTCTTCAAGATAGACTCGCCCAGGCCGTGGTATTTTGTGGAAGGGCCACACTCAATGGGGCAAAGAGCCGCATGTGGCTCGCGAGCCGCAGTTTGCCGATCACGTCCCTAGGGAGAGGCTGGGTCAGGATTCGAATGCGGTTCTTCTTACTCCAAAGCCCAAACGTGGCCTCATCAAAGTGGAGAAAAGCGCCAACGGGGCTCTCACAGCCCGGCCGGCAGCCCACCCACCCCCTTCCCCCCATGACCAAACCCAGGCGGTGAGGGAGCGCGTCCGGAACCCGAGCTTCCGAAATTCGGGGGGCACCTCAGCTAGGCCCCGCTGTTCCTGCTCCCCACCAGCCGGGACCGAAGGCGACTGGTCTCTGCCTGCGCCTGGCGCCAGCAGGGCACAGAGGAACTACCCTCACCAGGTCTTTAAACGTTTTCGTTTCCTCCTCCTCCTCCACGGCCGGCTGGGGCGCTTCGGTAGGGGAACCGGGTGCCTCGGGCGCCGCCATGCTGTCCGGCGGCTCCGGAAGTGGGGCGGCGGCGCGCGGGATGCTGGTTAATGTAGTTTGTCGTTCCCCCGACTGCGTGTTCTGGGCGCCCCCCTGCGGCCATGCCGGGTTTTGCACCAGCGGACCGGAGGGGTGTGGCTTCGCGGAAACCCAGCGGGAAAAGTTAGGAATGAGTGTGGACTTGAGGAACTGAACCGAGTAGGGAAGGGGCCGATGACCAGGGCCTCCAATATGCCCTTCAGATCCCCACCCATGATGCTCCTTACTTTTATAACCATAGAGTTTTAAACAGGTTGATATCACAGTACTATTTATTATAATTATTATTTCATGTCTTTATTAAAAAATTTGTTGAGTGCCTACCATATATTATACTAGGGCTACGTTATATGCTTAGTGACAAAGGCAGCATCCTTTACCCTCGTGGAGAAGACAGATAATAAATAAGTGACCACAGCCCTGGCTGATTTGGCTCAGTGGATAGAGCATCAGCCTGTGAACTAAAGGGTCCTGGGTTCGATTTTAGTCAAGGGCACATGGGGGGGGGGGAAGAGGTTAAGAGAAGGGGATTGAAGGCTCCATCCCCAGTAGGGGTGTGCAGGAGGCAGGAATCAATTATTCTCATCATTGATGTTTCTATCTCTCTCTCCCTCTCCCTTCTTCTCTGAAATCAATAAAAATATGTATTTTTAAAAATAAATAACTGATCTCAGATTCTTTCAAATTGTGGATTAACTATTAACCAGTTAATAATTCCGATTGGCCATTACCAGTTAGTAATGCAGATTTTGTGATCCAAAGAAAACACGTTAATTTCTGGAGAAACATCAAAAGTGCTTTATTCAAAGTAATGTCCATCGCTAGCCACCCATTTCCCCCACCTTTCAGGTAATTTGTGGATACGGTCCCAATAGAACTTTCCTTGTTTTGAGGCAAACCATTCAGAGACCCAGTTTTCCATTTCTTCGTACGTTTTGAAGTGCTGCTCAGACACTGCATGTGCCATCAATCGGAACAAGTGGTCACCTGAAGGAGCAAGGTCTGGTGAGTTCAACATCTGCCAAAAAGAAAGGAGTCCAAGAAACACCCCAGGCTTGAAATGATACTCTTAGAAGACATCACCCTAGGAAAGAGTGTGATATATAGATGGGACAACTGTAAAATCAGCCCACTACTTCCGATCTCCCCATCCCTCTTGGGATCCAGGGGTGGAGCACATGACCTAGAATAAGCCAACTGGTGGATGTCTCTCATCCTCTCTATTACAATGATTGGTTCAACAGTGTGCACAATGTCCTAGTAAGGCTAATCAAGGCCCGCAAGACTTAATTCTGGGACTTCTGCTTGAACTATCAGTTAAATGTGCTTCTCTTCTCTCTCATGCTAGACTTGGTATGCTGATGAGCCTGAAGCTGCCAAGGCCTACCATATAGAACCTAAAGAATGTAGCAAAAATTGTGAAGAGACAGAAAAGAAAGAGTAAAAACCTAAGACCTGACATCACTCTGTCTTATTCCATACCACAGCAGAATTCCCCAGGGTTTTTGCCTGGAGCAAAAAAGTTAACATCCCCACCTTCTGTCAATTCAACAAGGAGGGATTTATTGCAATTAACTAAATGGATGCTTGTTAAGACAGGAACACACTGCAACAGCAAAAACAGGATCCCAGCCTGTGGCTGGCTTTGCAGTCAGGGTCTTGCCAACTCAGCCTTTTTGTTGTTGTTGTTGTTGCACACCCACTAACAGTACAGCATCTGGACCCGGGCATGTCTCCCTGGTGGGGAGACTCAGGCTGGCTGGCACTCTGATAGGGAGACCACCATCCACAGCAGAAGCTCTTGGCTGACTCTGGCAACCACTACAGGCTCTCTGAATGGATCGTTGGACTCCTGTCCTATGTCCACCTCCTTTCTAACAGAATCTAGGTATATTGGGATCCGCCAATTCTTAGCTAAAAAATATTACATTTCCCTCGCACGGTCAAGATCACCGACTTGCAAGGTGACGTTGTCTGGAGATTTGTGGGGAAATTTTGCCTCCTGGGAAAAACTGCTGGAAGTCTGATTACTAGGGAATACGAATATTCCTGAACATGAGTTAACTGCTTTTTAAAAGTTGATTTACACAGTTTGAAACTGAATATTCTACATGAAAGTGATTAAATATCTGCCCCTTTTCAGTTATTAATTCGTACCCAGGCGAACATGAGATCAGGTGACTAATCACAGAGATCAAAACATTTGAGGAACGGACAGTTTATTTCAATAGGGGAAAGAACTAATTTTGCTACAGTGAAAAAAACACACCACTGCATTTGAATCCCTCTTTATCTCTGTAGTGTCTTTATCTCCATGTCTCAATTCCCTCTTTCTTTTCACACCAAGGCATTGAATGAGAACTATATCAAGTTGATTGATTGTTTGACATATCTGATTTAAAGTGGCTTCTACACCACTCTCTCCCTCTTTTTATTCCCAGTACACACATTTGACTTTGACAGTTTTCATATTGGAAATGACAGATGCCTTGGCGAACGCATCAAAGCAATTAGGATCAGCATGTTTGCTAAGGGTTGTTTTTCAATAGAGCAGAATGCAGTTTCCTTGAATCCCCTTTATTGTGAAAGAGAACCATTCAAATGATTGTAAACCCCAGAAACTACCAGCACTTAAGCCTTTAGTACAAACATATTTATTTTTCAAACTCGGGACTTTTTCTGGAGTATGCTTGTGACCAAAATAATCCTTTCCCTCCTTCTCGTTACAACATACCATTTCAATCTGTTTGTTTGTAGAATGTTGGCCATAGGGAAAAGCCTTATTCACATTTCCACAAAAGAAATAAACATTTGTCTCTAGCATCCATTGAACTGAACTTGACTAAATCCTGATAGAGGCTCCAGTCTTTATAACAGGCCTGGAGAGGATGGTTAGTCTTTTATCATAAATAAATTCCTATTAAAACCGCTAAGCAAATTCATTAAGTTATTCAAATGCGTTTGAATAATTATTATTCAAAGTGTCGTTCCAAAGTAGACACTCTTCCTTAGATGTAAAGTGGGCCACCTAAATGATACTTCAAGAGCCTAGAGCTCTGATACAGTCAAAATACCCTCCTGATAGGAAATGTTTGCTGCTGCTGCCAAAAGCGCCCCATAGATTTCTAGGGAACAGCTCAGGCATTGGAAGAATATAATCCAAACTTAAGCATTCATAGAAGATGGCGTTAGGGAGTAGCTGTATCTTTATGACATACCTAGCACAAATGACAACATGAAGTACATTCCGGTGACCCAAAATGCTAGCATCTGTGCCGGGAAGTCTAGGAAATGACACCAGTTTAAAAAGAAACCAGTGCCAACTTGAAAACAAACCAGGATACACATCGGTTGAAATTTATAGGAAAAAATGAAATTTAGAACCACCAACCATCTCACCCCAGCACTGACATGGTACTTCCTCAGACACACTGCCATCGTTGGGAACCTTGGGAGAAAACGGAGCCAATTGAAAGCATGCTAAATCCTGAACTAATACAGCCATGTTTTTGTGTGTGTACTCTCAAAGACTTTTCAACATTACAGTTGTAGGAGTGGAAAGTGAATAAATCATATTTTCCTAGAGACAGTTTACAGACTTTTTACAATGTGAAAATATGACATATCGCCACCATAACACAAGCTATTTTGTTTATAACCCATAAGACAACATTACAGGATATCAGGTTTCCAAGGTCTAAGTGCTTCTTTCACATGCCTTTGTCTTGTTTCCCTCCCAAAAAGTAGTTCAGAGCCCAGGGCTAAACAGATTCTCCTTTCAGGTCAAGTGTTACCTGCTGGCAAAGTACCTTCAGGTTAAATATGCCTGCATCATTTCTATCTCCTGCAAGTCAAGCCTCTATTGATAAGCTTAAACTCAGCTCTGGGTCTGTCTATTCAGAACGTCCCACATTTATTTCACGTGGGAAGAGAGAAGTATTCAAGGATAACTCAGAAAGTCAAACTCAACCTCATCTCCAGAAAAGAGCCTTAAGTCTCCCAGTCATTTGCTATTCCTATTATTTTCTAAATGTGATGATTAAATAAAATTACATGCAAATAATAAAAAGTAAATAAATTAAAAAAAACTAAAATAAATTAAAAATCACATGGTCTAGCAGTTTTCAGAGAAGGTACTAAAGATCCATTTCCAATAAATTCACATTCCTTTCTGTACCAGTTTCTACAATGAGTGGGCAACATTGCCCTCTAAAGGGCTTACTGTTTTACATCCCTTAGCTAACACGATGGCAAGGTGCCCCAGGATGCATGCATTGATGGATGCACACACATTCTTTTACTTCTGGGACACGGTCTGTCCTTGACCTTCAGGGAATGGCACGGAGCTCCTAGAGAGGCCCTGATGTTCTGTGAAAGCTCACTGAGGAGATCAGAAATGAATATCTGTTGTAATGGTTTTCAAACCTTAGTGGGCATTAGAATCACCCTGAGGGCTTGTTTACATGCACCTCCAGAGTTTCTGATTCCGTAAGTCAGCGGCTGAGTCCAAGAACTGGCCTTTCTAACAAGGTCCCCGGTGATGCCGATCCTGCCAGTCCAGGGGCTGCTCCTCAGGAGCCAGACACTGTGCTGGGCACTTCATCTTGCATCAGACTCACAACAGAGTGAGGGCTTAGCATCTCTCTCTGACTGACCAGGAAGCCAAGTCTCAGAGAGACCAAGTGGCCACAATCGCACAGTAGTGACAGGGTACGTAATAAACCCAGGGCTGTCTAACTCAAAGCCATTGCTCTCTTCTGTACATGGGGAAGTCAGTAAATGAAGCTGCAAGTCACTTCATCTTCCGTGGCCTCAGCCGCTGCTTCCTGCCAGGGACAGCACTTAGAGGTGGGATGGTTTCCCCTCTCAGAGCCTGAATAGGAAGCCACCCAGGAAGGTCCACTCCATCCCCAAGCTGGACCTGTGAGTGGATAAGCAGAGAAGGGAGGGGTGGGGGGGGTGGCATGTCAGAGGGAGGAGCCTCTCTCGGATCCTGAACCCTCTCCTACACTGTTCAAAGGGAGTCACTTTGCTCTGGATTCTGGAGGTCTTTGTGCTCAGATATTTCGCCTTTTACTCAGAAACTCTGGAAGAGAAGCTTTCAAGCTTGTGTCTCCCCACTAAGGCCTTCCTTCTGAGGACCTCCAAGCCAAGCAGAGCTTTAGAAAGGACCCAAAGGATGGCCATGTCTCTGCACCCTTTCCAGCCTCAGCTCAGACCACCAGGGCTTAAAACCCGAGTGCCCAGGAATGTGAAGACTGACGGTTCTGATCAAGGAAAAAAAAAAAATAGTGTTCAGGTCACATCATTCCACCAGGGATCGCGCAATAAATCAGTCCTCGGCAGAATGTTCACGGTGATGGGGGGAAAGAAGGGCCTCGAGGACCCTTCACTTCAAGCACAGTTTCTCCTCATTCTTTACACTCAGAGGGAGCCACCAAGCCAGAGCATCCCCCCCCCCCCCCCAAGGAGGGGGTGGTGGTCTCTGGCCTCGGTTCTTAGGAGAAAGGATGTTCTCTGAACCACAGCGCCGAGGGCTGGTCCGCAGCGATCCTGAGGTCGCGGTCCCGTCGTCTGGCCTTGGTGCGCAGCCAGACGGTGGCCTCCAGCTGCTCGCTGAGTTCGTCCAGGGCCCCCGTGCAGGCCTCGAGGCTCTCGGCCAGCTTCTGCACCTTGGCCTTGAGCACGGCCTGGCTCACCTTGGCGGCGCCCTCGGCCCGACGGGGGACGAGGAAGCCGCGGGAGCCGAAGAAGACCATGAAGTAGACGGCGTTGTACAGGGCCATGGAGGCGCTCCTGCCGCTCTGCAGCAGCCGGCGGTCGCCGCGGCCCTGCCAGCGGCAGAAGAACTCGAGGCAGCTCAGCAGCTCGCGCATCTGGTCCTGGCAGGCGGCCGCGATCTCCTGCACGCGGCGCACCTCCCGGGCGTGGCGGACGATCAGGGAGAGGTCGGACGTGACGGTGACGGCCCCCCCGGCCGTGGCCACCCCGAGCCCCACGGCCGACGCCAGCAGCGAGGCGCCCAGGGTGAGCGGGCTGAGCGACAGCCCCACGAGCGCGGTGACGGCGCCCGCGGCGCTCAGCGCGCTGCCGGCCACGCGGGCCGCCTGGGAGCGTCTGCGCAGGCGCTGCAGGCGCCGGGCCGCCTCGCGCAGGCGCAGCAGCTGGCCGTGCAGTCGGCCGCGGCGGTCGAGCAGCAGCCCCTGGAAGCGCCGCAGCGCCTCGGCGCCCTGCAGCTCCCCGGCCGCCGGCCGCTCCATGCCCTGCGGGGACACAGACACGCACATTATTCCGGAGTCTCCGCGACCCGCAGCGGCCCGCGACCGCGGTCTCCACACGCTGGGGGGGGGGGGGGCGGGGGGGGGCAGTCGGCCAAAGCTAAGCATTGCATAAGGTGACCAGACGTCCCGCTTTTGGCGGGACAGTCCCGATTTTTAACCATTTGTCCGCGTTCCGCGGCGTTTTAAAAAAAAGTCCCAATTTTTGGAAAGATTGACGTCTGGTCACTTGAGCATAGCAGTTACTGCCATAAGGGCAAAGGGGTCCCTTTCCAGCCAGCCATGCGCCCAGTTCCCAAAGAGCAGTGCTGTATTGCCAAAACTGGTTTGGCTCGGTGGATACAGCATCGGCCTGAGGACTGAAAAGTCCTGGGTTCGATTCCGGTCAAGGGCATGTACCTCAGTTACGGGCACATCCCCAGGAGGGGGTGTGCTAGAGGCAGCTGATCAATGATTCTCTCTCATCGATGTTTCTAACTCTCTATCCCTCTCTCTTCCTCTCTGTAAAAAAAAAATCAATAAAATATATTTTTAAAAAAGAGCAGTGCTGTGATCTGGGGCAGGTCGCCCAAGTTCTCAGGACCGTGAATCAGCATGTGCAACGAGGACCAAAGCTGTCCTCTGCTTTTTCCCTGAGGGGACACTAAGGATGGACTTCACTAATTATTTGTTATGTAAGATGAAAATGCCATAGGAGCCTAACCAGTGGTCAAGGACAATAGAGGGGTGGGGGCATGAGTGAGAAGGGGGGGTGGAGGGAGAGGACAAATATGTGATACCGTAATCAATAAAGAAATTTCAAAAAGAAAAAAAAGAAAAAGAAAATGCCATGAGGATAGGAGGAGCCTTCTAACATCTGCAATACTAGGGCCTCTGCTCTGTCGGGAAGACAATATTTTACAAGCAGGAGGTTGTGCTGCTTACAAAGTCCTTTTGTCATATGAAGACGTGGCTCATAAGAGTTGTAATATAGTCTCCCCCACCCCAACAAGTCACCAAAAACTCAAAAATCATATTATCTATCAAGTGTAAGAAACAAATCTTTCTAAGTTATATGGTTGCCTGGATCAACGGTTCTGCTTGTTATTCTTCCAGGCTCTTATCTTAGAATTAAGCCTCAGATGTGGTTTTTGCTGTTTATTCTAGGGAGAGCTCATCAGGTCTCGCTCTTTGATGGGTGCTTAGTTAAAACTAAATTAAATTAATACCACTCTATCTCTACTATGAAAGCTTCCTTTTAAAAATGAACAGCAGTTGGCCCAGCTGGTGTTGCTCAGTGTTGAGCGTCAACCTATGAACCAGGAGGTCACGGTTAGATTCTGCCAGTTGTGAGCTCAATCCCGTGTGGGGAGTGCAGAAGGCAGTCGATCAATGATTTTTCTCTCATCATTGATGTTTTTATCTCTCTCATTCCCCCTTCCTCTCTGAAATCAATTATATATATATATATATATTTTAATGAATAACGGTTGAATAAAATAGTCAACCAACCCAAATTTTTTAACAACTCACTGAGGGCAAACCTTGCACCAAATTGAATGGAAGCCAATTACAGATGACTAACAAAGAGACAGACTGTACCCTCCGGGGTAAAAGTACATCCTTGCTAGTTGCCACCCCCTCCCCCCCTTTGTATCCGCTGTACTCATCATTATCAGGAACTTCTTTAAAGTGGCAAATAAGACACAGGAATGGAGTGTTCCGATCCTGTGAGATAATCAGGGCAGAGATGTTTTCCTCACGAGGAAATCGAAACAGAGTCAGATTCTAGATGCAGCCAGTCCTTCACAGAGCCCCGTCTAGAATCTTGATCTCCTGACTCTTGCAAGGTCTGAATTTTACTTGTATGCCTCCATAATTCCACCCACCAGGGATAAATTTCCAGGGAAAGACATCTCTTTGCAAAGTGGGGGAAAAGTCACTTACAATATATAACGGACCAGGGATAGAAGAGCCCAGTATGACAAGTCCAATGGCAATGTTTCAGGTAGTGTCCCGCTAGGCTCCCCACTTACCATTCACCTCTGGCTACCTCCGGGAAGAGAAATCGGAGGCTGTTTCTGGATGAGCACGCTTTATAGTTCACGAGAGCCAATGGCTGCCCTGGGAAAGCCTTGTCTCATCCTGAGAATTGCCTTTTCCTGTCCTGGCCCCTGCTGCCTTCACCCAGAAGGATGTGACATGGTGGAAAATGACCTGCCAGCCTCATAGCACATCCCGTATTTAGGAAGTGAACATTGTGTGTTCGCTTTCCCCCAAACAGCAGGAAAAGAACAGCAGGCTCTTCCCCAACTTGAAACAGAGTGTGTCATTCTCCCAGGAGGGTATACGCGGCCTTTCCTCTCCTGAGAATAGCTAATGACGTGATCTGGGAGGACATCAAACGCACCCCAGGCTGACCAATTATAGTGTTTCTTAAGAGGCCATAATTCCAAAATCATTTTAAAAAAGCAAAAAGGGGGGGGGGGGGCAGGAACCGTTATATTTGAGATAGCCACTTACAATCCACGCCTGCAATTTAAAAAGCTATGTGAATCTGAGAGTGGTTGAAAAATGTGATCCAATAAGCATGAAGCCTTAAAAAAAAAAAAAAAAAAAAAAAAGCAACCACAAGGCCACACCCGAAGGAAGTGCTGCGTGCAGTTCTGGACATCTCCAGCTGGGAGAAGATATCGGAGGTCTCAGAAAGGTCACGCTGCAGGCCGAATGCGTCAGAAAAAGATCTGTGGGGTCAGGCTGCACAAGGAGCTAATTATATACTCTCAACAGCAGCAGGGATTCAGCTTCCCGGGTTTTCATTGGAAGTAGCCATTGTTAGTCCGTGCAATAGTTAAATGAATGGGTTCTATCTCCAGGCTCGTGAAGCATGCTTGGAAGGGCAGTTGTCGGAATAATTCAGGAGGAAAAGGGGAGTACGGCATCTGTGGGTGCTTCCTGCTGGTTGGAGCTCAGCCTGGCGGCCTCCGACCAAGGACCCCAAATGTATTAATCCTTCTTCTAACACTTGCACCTTAAAATAAGGAAGGCCAAATTGGCTTCTCCCTTAAATGATTATCGTCTCAACTCTCTGGTTCATCTGGACAGTCTTAACAGCCATATCTTTCTGGAACACAATGGACTTCGCCACCTTAGTAACTATACTTTGTCTTTATCAATACAACGCCATTTGTTATCACTCACCATGGTCCTTTTGAACTTGACTTTTTTGAATCTTTGGTCCAGATGCAAATATTCTGGTTATAGTTCCTCAAAGGGTAAATATAACCTTAGTCAAGATGCCTTCAGTATTTGCCTGAGTTTTTTTTTTTTTTTTTTTTTTTTAATATATATTTTTATTGATTTCAGAGAGGAAGGAAAAGGGAGAGAGAGATAGAAACATCAATGATGATAGAGAGTCATTGATTGGCTGCTCCTGCACGACCCCACTGTGGATCGAGCCCACATCCCAAGTATGTGTCCTTGACCGGAATCGAACCTGGGACCTTTCAGTCCACTGGCCGATGCTCTATCCACTGAGAAAAACCGGGTAGGGCTGCCTGAGCTTTTGAATTAAGAGGTGGAAAAATGTGTCCCCATAGACATTAACACTCCAAATGGAATATAAGCCAGGTCTAATCAAGAGTAGGGAGGCAGTGGGCAAAAAAGAACAGTACCCTGACTTTTCACTTCCCTAGTGCAAGAAAGAAGTGGGAGAGAGCTCCTTAAGTACAGGGATCTCCAAACTCCAACCCTGGAGAGTCTGAATCAACAGATCTGGTATCTGGCAAGTGCAGGGGATTCTCAACTCAGCCAGATACTCACGGCTCTAGAATTTTCTGACCACTAGTGACACAGCAGCAGAAATAGTATGGCTGGTAGAGAGCAGTTTGTTAAGTAGGTATTGATTCATTGTGGGCCCTAGTTAAAATGACCAAGTGCTAAACATAAAGTGAAAATCCCCATCAGGGCCTCCCAGAGATGTAGAGAAGCCTAGGCCACGTCTATTTGTTGAGGCTCTTAGTGAATAAAAATAAATTCTAAGACAATATATGAAAATGTGTGGTTTATATCTTTTAATTACAACATAATACATTTTGCAATGTTAATATTTTGTTACTCACCAGCTAATCACAGGATCTATAAAATATTAATCCATAGTGCACTACAATGGTAATCTGAGACAAATTTAGAGAATGATGATGACCTTTTCCTTTAAATCTTTATCAGTATAGTCTCAGTGACTATACACAGGATTCCTTTTGGAGACAACATCAAAAGTATAAAATCAAGACAATTTATAAATGTGGGGTTTCATTCACAAAGGCCAAAGGTCTCCCAGACTTTTCCTTGTAATAGATCCTAATACATACAGGCACTCAAATAAATGAAAATGAAAATAATAGCACATATCCACCTGAGGATGTCCCATGTGTTTGTGCATATATATATATATATATATATATATGTATATATATAAATTTCACAAGACTGCAACTCTTCTAGCACATCATTAAGCTCTCAGAATTGCTTGTTGAATAAAACTAAAGAAAGGTATTTTGTTCTCTTAAAGAAGTGGCACTGTTTTCATAATAACTTGATGAGAATTTGGCATAAAATTATCTCTTGGAAAATACAGCCTGGTAGGTAAGTTAGAGCTCTTATTCTGCAGGGGACTTCCAGGATATTTACGTTGCATGACATCTCAACTATGATTGTCACAAATTCATGAGACTACGAATATTTAAAAAAAAAAAAAAAAAAAAAAGACCCAGTGAACACTGAATTCCAGCTATCTTCTTTGCTTGGCCTGTGACCTTTGATAATGTACACACACATCCTTAACCACTAGTGTTTAAATACTGCTCTGTGTTCTTTTTTCCACTTAACGTTCCTGCAGATACACACTTCTCTGTTGACATAGTCCTCACCTCTTGTCATTTTTAATAGCTATGTAATAATCCCGTTGTTTGTTTAGTCACCTCCCTATTAGACACTTGGATTGCTTC